CATGTAGCTGACTCAGTCAACATCTAGCTGACTCAGTCAACATCTAGCTGACTCAGTCAACATGTAGCTGACTCAGTCAACATGTAGCTGACTCAGTCAACATGTAGCTGACTCAGTCAACATCTAGCTACTCAGTCAACATGTAGCTGACTCAGTCAACATGTAGCTGACTCAGTCAACATGTAGCTGACACAGTCAACATGTAGCTGACTCAGTCAACATGTAGCTGACTCAGTCAACATGTAGCTGACTCAGTCAACATGTAGCTGACTCACTCAACATGTAGCTGACTCAGTCAACATCTAGCTGACTCAGTCAACATCTAGCTGACTCAGTCAACATGTAGCTGACTCAGTCAACATCTAGCTGACTCAGTCAACATCTAGCTGACTCAGTCAACATGTAGCTGACTCAGTCAACATGTAGCTGACTCAGTCAACATCTAGCTGACTCAGTCAACATGTAGCTGACTCAGTCAACATGTAGCTGACTCAGTCAACATGTAGCTGACTCACTCAACATGTAGCTGACTCAGTCAACATGTAGCTGACTCAGTCAACATCTAGCTGACTCAGTCAACATGTAGCTGACTCAGTCAACATGTAGCTGACTCACTCAACATGTAGCTGACTCAGTCAACATGTAGCTGACTCACTCAACATGTAGCTGAATCAGTCAACATGTAGCTGACTCAGTCAACATGTAGCTGACTCACTCAACATCTAGCTGACTCAGTCAACACGTAGCTGACTCAGTCAACATGTAGCTGACTCAGTCAACATGTAGCTGACTCAGTCAACATGTAGCTGAATCAGTCAACATGTAGCTGACTCAGTCAACATGTAGCTGACTCACTCAACATCTAGCTGACTCAGTCAACACGTAGCTGACTCAGTCAACATGTAGCTGACTCACTCAACATGTAGCTGACTAAGTCAACATGTAGCTGACTCACTCAACATCTAGCTGACTCAGTCAACACGTAGCTGACTCAGTCAACATGTAGCTGACTCAGTCAACATGTAGCTGACTCAGTAAACATGTAGCTGACTCAGTCAACATGTAGCTGACTCAGTCAACATGTAGCTGACTCAGTCAACATGTAGCTGACTCACTCAACATGTAGCTGACTCAGTCAACATGTAGCTGACTCAGTCAATAACATTTGGCCTACTCAGTAACTGGGCGACTCAGTCAAGACAACAACTGGCTACTCCACTCTGGAACAACACCTGCACTACTCCACTCTGGAACAACACCTGCACTACTCCACTCTGGAACAACACCTGCACTACTCCACTCTGGAACAACACCTGCACTACTCCACTCTGGAACAACACCTGCACTACTCCACTCTGGAACAACACCTGCACTACTCCACTCTGGAACAACACCTGCACTACACCACTCTGGAACAACACCTGCACTACTCCACTCTGGAACAACACCTGCACTACTCCATTCTGGAACAACACCTGCACTACACCACTCTGGAACAACACCTGCACTACTCCACTCTGGAACAACACCTGCACTACTCCACTCTGGAACAACACCTGCACTACTCCACTCTGGAACAACACCTGCACTACTCCACTCTGGAACAACACCTGCACTACTCCACTCTGGAACAACACATGCACTACTTCACTCTGGAACAACACCTGCACTACTCCACTCTGGAACAACACATGCACTACTCCACTCTGGAACAACACCTGCACTACTCCACTCTGGAACAACACCTGCACTACTCCACTCTGGAACAACACCTGCACTACTCCACTCTGGAACAACACCTGCACTACTCCACTCTGGAACAACACCTGCACTACTCCACTCTGGAACAACACCTGCACTACTCCACTCTGGAACAACACCTGCACTACACCACTCTGGAACAACACCTGCACTACTCCACTCTGGAACAACACCTGCACTACTCCACTCTGGAACAACACCTGCACTACACCACTCTGGAACAACACCTGCACTACTCCACTCTGGAACAACACCTGCACTACTCCACTCTGGAACAACACCTGCACTACTCCACTCTGGAACAACACCTGCACTACTCCACTCTGGAACAACACCTGCACTACACCACTCTGGAACAACACCTGCACTACTCCACTCTGGAACAACACCTGCACTACTCCACTCTGGAACAACACCTGCACTACACCACTCTGGAACAACACCTGCACTACTCCACTCTGGAAAAACACCTGCACTACTCCACTCTGGAACAACACCTGCACTACTCCACTCTGGAACAACACCTGCACTACTCCACTCTGGAACAACACCTGCACTACTCCACTCTGGAACAACACATGCACTACTCCACTCTGGAACAACACCTGCACTACTCCACTCTGGAACAACACCTGCACTACTCCACTCTGGAACAACACCTGCACTACTCCACTCTGGAACAACACCTGCACTACTCCACTCTGGAACAACACCTGCACTACTCCACTCTGGAACAACA